ATATATATATATACCCCTGGGTGGGGTAGGTGACTCCAGAGAGCTTCCTGTCTGCAGGAAAATAGTCTGAGTGGCCTACCAGTTGGAATTTAGTGTCTCCATAGTCGATTCCAGGAAAATATATATATATATTTAAAAGTAACAGAATCCTTCCATGAGCCTCACATGCCCATCACCAGCCCCAACACCCATCAACCCACAGCTACTCCATCTACACCCTTTCCCATTTTCCTTCCTCCATGTAACATATAACATTCATATAACATTCATCTATAAAAATTTTAATACATGTCTCTTAAAGAAATCCTTTTGTAATATAACCACATTATGATTATTGCATCTAAAATTAGTATTAATTATTCAATAATTAAATATCCAGTCAATGTTCACATTTCCCATGATCACAAATGCCATTTTTTTACAGTTTACTTTTTAATGTCATAAATATTGTTTCATTGAGAATCCAAATAAATTTCACTCATTACAATTGGCAGCTTTTGTTTCTCTTTTAATATACAAATTCCCCATCTGTTGGTGTTCCCCACCCACCCCTTGCAATTTATTCTTGTTCAGCAGAGTTTCATGTGGTTTGGACACCGTTGCTTCCATCCCATGGTGCAGTGCGGCCTGTCCCTTTGGTCGCTGTGTGTTTTGTATGTGAGTCAGTGATTCAGTCCCAGTGAAACTATGTCCCAGGGGACAGCGAGCTCTTCAGCAGTGGGTACATCAGCCTGACTCTCTGTGCTGTCAGCAGTCGCTGATGCTCCGTAACAGCTCCATTATTTCATTAAGGCTGCAAAATAATGATGCTCTAATTTCATCTGCACCTCCTACACCTCCTCATGGGCCAGGATCAGCTTGTCTCCTACTCTGTTCACAGCCATCACTGTGATTCTGGCCTGTCCTCCCAGTAGTAAAGGAAGACCCACCTGCTTGCTCCCAGGGAGTACAGAAAGGACTTGGAAAGAGAGGTGCTGGCCACAGAGGGCTCCTCTGTCTGTCCCTCATGATTTCCATGACCCTGTAGGCCCACCCACCCAGGCCCACCGTGACTGAGGGGTGGGGTAGGCGACGCCAGAGATTTTCTAGTCTGAGTGGCCTACCAGTTGGCAATTAAGAGACTCCATGCCAAGCTGACTGCCATTCTTGTGGGGGGCCAGAGATCACACTGGTGGAACAGCTCAATTAACCCATGGCCAGGATGCCACCAAGACCTTTGGCTTGTTGCACTGGAGCCAGGGAGAAAGAGCAGCAGTGGGCTACATTGCTCCAGAAACTCTGCCTGGCTATCTGGGCCCTTGAGTATCCTGGGATTCCTCTGTGGGTATCTTCTAACACGTAACATAAATGCAGTGGGTCATTTACCCACCAGAAATGTCCTAGAAACATCAGTAAACTTCCTTCCTAACACAGGTGTAGGCAGTACAACACCCTGTTTCATAGTCGTTCTGGAGAACTGCAGTCCTGAAATTGTTCATAAAGCCAAGAGCGTGCTGGACCTGGAATTATAAGACAACAATGAGACAGGGTCGTAGGATCCCAGTCTGCTGCCTCAGGAAGCCAAGGACAGGAGGAGACCTAGGCTGAGCTTCTGTCACATGCAGACCGTGACGACAGCGCTGAGCCACAGCAGGATGTGACCCCATGGGGAAGGGGCAGGTGTTGTGGCAGCACAGGTGGTCAGCCTGGGAGGACATGAGATGACAGGATAGTAGCAACAATCATGGGAGGCCCGGTGTCCCCACAGTCAGTGCAGACAGGAGGCAGCAGGAGCTCACGGCAGGAGTTAGGGACGGAGGCACGGCCAGTGCTGATGGATTCTTTGTACCTGTGGCTTTGGGCAGATATAACGCCTGCATACATCAGTGCTTCGACAGGAGGGCAAAAGGTGCTGGAAACATGGTCAACGGCTTGGCCAACAACACCGAGATCGACGACAGCAGCAACTGCGACGCCACCGTGGTGCTTCTCAAGAAAGGTAACCAGTGAGGTTGTGTGAAGGAAGTGCCGGGAAGTCTGCCAGCCCCACCCCAGGGCTTCGCAGGCCCACAGGAGGAGCTGAGGGAGAGGTTTCCAGGCACCCCTCCATCCCTTGGGCATAGACTTCCTCAGGCAAAACATCTGCTGAGGTGGAGACAGGGAAGTTAAACAGGGTGGTAAAGGCCTGAGGATTGTGGGTTCGGAGTGGTTGGTCCGGTCCCTGTTTGTCTGTGTGACTATGAAACTCGTTGCTTAACCACTATGAGCCTCGGTTTTCTCTTCTGCAAAATGGCAATGATTTTGGTAATGAGTGAAGGAGATAAAGTTTATGACATTTAGCACAATACTCCATTGATGATAGTGGTTTATCTATTACTGTGTCCAGATTCACTCTCAGAGTACATGACTTCTGTTTCCAAGGTGAAAGTTACATTGAAAGTTGTCCCTTTTGGGCCCTCCCTAGTGGCACAATTGGTTAAAGTGCAGCACTATGAAGCAGTGTGCAGCCAGTGCAGCTCTCCATACAGGGAGCTGACCACATCACACTGCAGGTCTCTTCTGACCCACCCGCTTCTCCTCTCAGTAGTGTATTTCTGTCAGTCTGCCTATTGTGCTCCCCACTCTGTCTCTAGTAAATTCTGTCACCCCCACACCTCTGGCCTGTACCCCAGTTCTTATATGTATAAGTAAACAAATATTTAAAAAAAAAAAACGAGAAAAAATTATCCCTTTTTTCCCCCCAAGGTAATCCTTAATACGCAATAGATTCTTAATAAGCCATTGATTTAGTAGAGGTTATAATACAGTGTTCTCTAATAAATAATATTCTTTCTTAAAGAAACAAAATTATCATTTACTTTTGCCTAGGGTGTATTTTATTTTTTCATGTAATTGCTTTTTCCTTTTTATTTGCCCCTTGAAATGTGTGTGTTTATTTCATCTTGGTCCCATATGGTTTGCTTTGCATGATAAAACACAAAAGCAATCAGAAAATCTGTAGTTTACTTTCATATATGTGTAAGAGTTTGAAATCAATGGGTAATTATTAGTTTTGAAGACCAATTATTTGATACACTTTTCTGGGTATTTACAAGCATGCTCAACAAAAGGATTTGAGTCTATGTATTCAGTGTCTTCCACATAAGGATTTCATTTAGTGTCTTCTCTTCTGGTTAGTTTATAACCATAAAAGGAAAATGCTTAGGGAAGCAAAGAGAACTACCTAAACTGAGTCAGTGTTTCTAAAGAGCATTTCATGATGTGGAGCCTGGGAAAACAGGAGTGGGTACCGAGAGATTATGGCCAGGTCGTCATGAGCTGTGTGCTCCTACTGTGCATTTCTGGAGAGGTTTTTGGGCCTAGATGCAACCTTGTTTCCCAGGACTGCATGATCCTCCCCTGGAACTCAGGCCCTGGAATGTGGACAATTACCCTACCCACCCTTGTCAGCCAACCTGTGGCAGGTATCCACTGGCCCAGCATGTCCTTCACATGACACTAGGGCCAGTTCTGCTTCTTATGAACATTATTGACACTTGAATGGTGTAAAAGACTCCTGGAACTTACTAGGATCCCTCCAAGCAGAGTGATGGGGAAAGGATCCTTCAAGGACAGGGAGAAATTCTTTTATGTTGTCACCCATTCTTTAAAAACAGAAAAAGATTTTTTACTTATGCATGTAAGAACTGGGGTTCAGGCCAGAGGTGCAGGGGGTGAGAGGATTCACCAGAGACCGACTAGAAAACAGAACAGGCAGATCCACTGAAATACACGGCTGAAGGGAGCAGTGGATGAGACAGAAGAAGTCTACTGTGCCATATGGGTCACCTCCCTGGCCAGGGATCAAACTCGAGCTGCAGTGACTGGCAATTGCTTGATAGCACAGAAACTTTAACCCCTGCTCCACCAGGAAAGCCCTGTTGCCATTCATTCCTGTTGTCACCAACTCTTGTTTACATTGTTTTAAGTCATTCTTTTAAAAACTTATTTATGTATGCATACAGAACTGGGGTGCCGGCCAGAAGTACAGGGGCAGTAAGAGGATTCACCAGAGACAGAGTGGGGAGCAGAATAGGCAGACTGATGAAATACACTGCTGAGGGGAGCAGCAGGCAAGACATGAGAGGTCTGCTGCGCCATGTGGGTCACTTCTGGGGCCGGGGATCAAACTCACACTGAAGCTCCTGTGACCAGCTTTCAGTACTGAGCTTTAACCTACTGTGCCACCAGGGAGGGCCCCATTTTAAGTCATTCTAAAAGCACTAATAGTGAGTGCCATGGAAAGCAAATTTCAAATTCTTTCTAAATGTTTTCTCACTATAACCTTCCATGAATGGATGGGAAGGTGGGAGGGAGGGAGGAAAAGGAAAGGAAGAAAGAAGGGAGAAAATGAGAAGGGAGGAAGGACGAGTAGAAAGAGTAGATGACAGGATGAACAGATAGAAAGTTGGAGGGGACAATGGATGGATGGGAGGAAGGATTGAAATGTTGCTAGGAGGAAGAAAAGGAAGAGAAAGGAAAGGAAGGAACACTGAGTACCCTTTTCCTGCTCCTAACTCAATGTTATATTCCTAATTTCCCTAGCCAATTTCCACCGCAAAGCATCTGTGATCATGGTAGATGAGCTCCTGTCAGCCTACCCCCACCAGCTTTCTTTCTCTGAGGCTGGCCTTCGAATCATGATCACGAGCCACTTTCCCCCCAAGACCCGACTCTCCATGGCCAGCCGCATGTTAATCAATGAGGTACGTGGGAAAATGCAGCCCTTCCTCCACTGGACAGGGCTGGGAAAGGAAGAAAGTCCTGGTGTGAAAGCAGAAACACTAACTCTGCATTGAGCCTGACAATCTCCCTCCACCATGGCCCAGTGTCTTGGTTCACTGGGCCACTGTGCACCCTGGCCCTTGCTTTCCCATCCACGTGTGTAGAGACAGGGTCTGGATTTCCAGGCCTACCAGAAAGTTCGCTCATCCTCTTCTTTTCATCTTCAGTTTGAACAAAGCCCTCTTGTGTGAGCTTGTACAGTAGTTGTGAAATCGTGGTTACCTCAGTTAAAATTAATTGAGTCTCAGACCTGAATTTTTCCTGCAGATGTATTTCTCTAAAGTGGCAGCCTTTTGATATACTAGTCCAAACATTTTCTGTGTATGGCTTTCTCACATATACTTGAAGGGATTCCTAGAATATGGAAAAGAAAGTTAGCACTGCAGTACACAGGGAATTAAGAACATTGATAGAAAAGAAGTGTGCCTCCAAGATTTAGGAATTACCTCTAAAGGATTTTAAGGTTGCATTGGGTCATTACATATTCGCCTTTGCTCCCAGAAGGAGGTTGTCTGAGTTGGTTATTACTTTAAGGAATCCCTTAGACCAGACTGCAGAGTGTACTGAAAGCACCTTCTTAACTGTCTAGGAAAAATCCCAATAGTTGGGATTCTGGGTGTAAGGACTTGCAATTCCCTGACTATGGTAACGAAACTGTGCCTTTCTCTTTCCAGAGACAAAGACTGATCAACAGCAGGGCTTATGCCAATGGAGAATCTGAGGTGGCCATAAAAATCCCAATTAAGCACACCGTAGAGAATGGAACAGGGCCCAGCAGTGCCCCTGATAGAAGTGTGAATGGCACCCGAAGGGACGATGTTGCTGCGGAGGCTGGCAATGAGACAGAGAATGAGGACAATGAGAACAACGAGAATGATGAAGAGGAAGAAGAAGATGAGGATGATGATGAAGGACCATACACACCGTTTGACCCCCCCTGTAAGAGGTCCTATGTGTGGGCTGGGGCTGGAGACTATTTGGGGGTCACTGAGAGGATGCCCTTAACTTTGGTCTTTTGCCATTCAATTCAAAGAAATATATCTGAACATGAAAAAATTTATATTAATTTCCAGTGAGCAAAATGCTGGTGTAGAGGGTCAGAGATGACCAAAATGCAATCTTTGGTTGAAATGAACTCCTGACTATATGTACAGTTTGAATTTTGTGGGGACCTCTGCTGTTGTTCTGCGGTGGGTGCTAATGACAAAATGCACATGACCCTGTGGCAGGATAACTTCATGACTAGGACAAGAGGTTCTTCTCCCACCTCCACCCAGCCAGGGGGTGTGTCCTGCTGAAGCCAACCCTGGGGACACAGCCCCTCCCACATGGTCCTTGTGCTTCCTGCTTCCTGCTTCCTGCCCATTGGTCCCATTCAGGTCCCTCCCGCTGCTTCCAGGCAGATACTAAGGTGTTTTAGACCAGAGCAAAAGCACCCTGAACCCAGTTCATTCTTACCCTCTGGGGCTGGCCAAGGAAATTTCCCTGCAACCTGGAAAAGGAAGGGCCAGGCTTATAAAAGCCTTGAGAATGCCAGGGTGATGTCCCTCTTCCCTAACCTCTGCCCCTAAGAGATACTTGGCCTTTCCAGTCACCCTGTCTGCCCCCCCACCACGAGAGGGAGAGGTGAACTGAGTCCAGAGTTTTCTATTTATTAAATATTCCAGAAGTGTGTGGCTATTCAGGAAAGAATCCTGGCTCAGTTCACATTCACTGTCAAGTGGATAAAAGTTCATTAACATGTGCAGTTTTGCGGGGTATTTGAATGTGTAGGAGTGCTCAGAAGTCTGAAGAAGGATCCTTGAATCCACTTGAAAAGCTATTTACTGATGGGTGGTGGTATGAAGTGTCAGAGTCCTGTGTTACTTCTGGGTGTAAGAAATAACCCCATTTTTTGTGTTCTGGTGGCATCAAGTAAAACTCAGACCAGAGCTGCTTGTAAGCCCTCTCTGGCTCCTGAGACCTCGGCTTTCTCAAGAATTTACCAAAATATTCACCCACAGTCCCATAACCCATATTCCCAACACACCCAGCCAGCATTAAATAATTCCTTGTTGAGCAGTTGTCTTGGTAGAAAAGGGTATCCCAGATTTTCATCCATTTTGCCGGCTTTGACCATATTTCTTCGCAACCTTTTTCTCTGTCTCCAAGACTAAAACATGTTAAGGATTAAATGATCAGATACTCACCCCTCCATTGCAAATCTTTATGCTTTCTATTGCTGCTTAATAGATTAATGCAAACTTAGAGGCTTAATTAAAGCAATAGCCACTGACTAGCTCCAGGTCTGTAGGTCAAGGCCTGGCATGGCCTGGCTTCGTTCCCAGAGGCTCACACGGCCATAATCCCATTGTGGGCAGGGCTGTTGGCAGAATTCAGCTTATTTGCTCTGGCTTAGATCCAGTTTCCTTGCTCGCTGTTGGTGAAGGGCTACCCACTGTTTCTGAAGACCACCCTCATTCCTCATCAAGTGGCTCCTAGTCCAGGGGCCATCACAGCGCATCATGTGGCTCCTACTCCTTTTGCCACCACAGCTGCAGCAGGCCGGTCTGCCTCTCTGGCTTGTTCTCTGCTTCATGGACTCACAGGATCAGGACTCACAGGACTTCATGATCACAGGATCAGACCATGTGCCTGTGCAAACTCCCATTGGGTCAGCTCTGCAATGCAGCACAGCCTGGTCCTGGACTGTCGATCCCCCTCCTCAAAGGTTCTGAGAATCAGGGAGCAGAATCTTGGGGCCCGGGGGTAGCACTCTACCCTCCATAGGCCCTGTTTTCATTGCCATCCCATAGCCAGGCCCCAGAAATGCTCATGTTGCCAGTCTGATAAAGAAGCACTGGGGGACACTAGAAGAGCCCCTAAATAGCAAGTGCTACATTGGCTTCCTGGAACCTGGGGGTAGGGGTGCCCTGAGTGCCAACCTCCCATGCCCCAACAGACAATATTTGGCTCCCATACCTGAGCATCAGTTCTTAGTGGAATAAAAGGGCCCCTTTGGGTCCTTGTTCCAAATTCTCTCCTACATAAGATCAGCTCCTGACTCACAGTGAGGTTTCAAGTTATCTTTGAAGCCCCCATCTGTGTGATCAGGTTACACACCTGTAGGCTCCCAGACTTCCAGCCACAAGTCTTATTGCTTATTGCACCTGCTTATTGCAGGTGTCGGCTCAGAAACCCCACCTGAGTCCCCTGCATCCTTTGGAAACAGACACAAGTGGAGAATCGACGCTTATCGTGGTCCCCCATCCTTGGATCTCTGCTTCACTCCAGGGTCTTGAGCTGCCGAGACAGGAGGTGAAACCCCAAGTTCGTCCCCAGCCCTTCTCTCCTGGGCTCCCTTGACATAATCAGGTTCTGATTCAGGAAGTCAAGGTGAAGCCTGAGAGCCTGCATTTCTGACAAGCACCCTGGTTACACCGAAACTGCTGGGTCTTGGGCCACCTCTGGGATGACAAAGGGCCCAAATCCTGCACTCACACTGGTGACCCTTACAGTTATTCTGGTGCACATAGAAACCTAATTCAGAGACAGCTTTGGCCACAGAGAATGGGCTCATGTGAATGACCCTCTGTACCCTCCATTAGTTGTTGAGAAACTTCCACTTCGGGCTGGGGGCTGAGTGTCCAGCAGGCTGATGGGCCTCCCCTTGACATAATGTTCCCCAAGACTCAGCAGCATCGGTGTAATCAGGGTGCTTGTGAGAAATGCAGACTCTCAGGCCCCACCCCGACTTCCTGAATGGGAACCTGCATTATGTCAAGGGAGCCCAGGAGAGAATGCTCACAGCACAGCGCTGAGCAGGCAGGGGTGCCTCAGCCAGCAGAAGAGCGCCCTGAGTCCCCAAATTGGACTCCTGTCCAATAATTTCCTTAGCCTGAAGGAAATCCCTCTACATGGTGAGGGCACAGTCTCCCGCAAGGGCACCAACTCCTGTGCTTCTGTTGCACAACTGCTGCCTTCTCTCCAGGATTTGAATATAATAAGTAAAATTAGCAAGTCAGAAGTGAGCATGTAGAGCACACGTGCGTATGGACGTGTGTTGTCTAAGCATTATGAGCAAGCACACGTGTAAGCATCCATGTAAGTGCACTGCCTAGAGACACTTGTACACACATGCATGGGATGCACATGTATAGTTCATGTGTGTGCATATAGCATGTTTATATATGCACTGGATACTTGACAGAATGTGCTGTGTGTGTATATATATATACATATATGTGTGTGTGTATATATATATATTTAATTTGCACAAAGCCCTGTATTTAAGTTTGCATATATACATAGATGAAATAGATGTATGTATGTATATTATGCACACCTATGCATTGCCTGTGTGTGTAGATACACATACATAGAAATAAAATATATATACACATATATATATTCTTACCACTTAAATGAAGAAAGTGTTACTGTTGACTGGCTATTAAGAAAAACATTTAAATGTAGATAGATAAACACATTTCTATAGAAAAAAAGACCCAGAAGAAATATACCAAATATGTTTTATCTTTGGTGGAATTATGTTTCATTTTTTCTATATTTTCCCTTTAAAAACAATGTGCAGTTTTGCTGTCTGTATAATTAGAACATATTTATACATTCATGGAAAATACTGAAAGATGACTTTTTCTTACTCCCATAGAATTGAGCTTTCTTTTTTATTATTATTTATTCATCCAGAATTGGGGTACAGGCCAGAGATGCGGAGGGTGAGAGGATTCACCAGGGACAGAGTGGGGAGCAGAATAGGCAGATCAATGAAGTACACTGCTGAGGGGAGCAGCGGGCGGGTCAGGAGAGGTCTACCATGCCATGTGGAGCTCCTCCGGGGCAGGTGGGGATCGAACTCATGCGGAAGTGGCTTAAGCTTCTTAGTGCAGTGCTTTAACCCGCTGAGCCACCAGGGAGGGCCATCTTTTTTTTTTTTTTTTTTTTAAGATTTTTTTTATTTATGCATACAGAACTGGGGTACAGGCCAGAGGTGCAGGGCAGTGAGAGGCTTCATCAGAAACAGAGTGGGGAACAGAACAGGCATATCGATGAAGTACACTGCTGAGGGGAGCAGCAGGCGAGACAGGAGAGGTCTGCCTCGCCATGTGGGTCAGCTCCCAGCCTAGGACGGAACTTGCATGAAGTGGCTGAGGCTAGCTTTGCAGTGCTGCGCTTTAACCCATTGTACCACCAGGGAGGGCCCAGAATTGAGCTTTCTAAGACACCTTACAAGGAGTGGAACAGGAACAGGCCCTGGATTTTCAGAGCCAAGTCACACTCAGGCAGCTGCTGTAGACCCAGCATCTCCCGTTCACACGCCTTCCTCATCTCCCAGCTGCTGGCCTCCTTCTGCCATCACAGGACCTCAGGCGGGCCAGGTCCACCACAGGGAGTTTTGTTTTCTTAATTCTCTGCTCTGTCCTCAGCACCTGGAGCAGCTCCCAACACAGAGTAGCACTCTGTGCTCAATAAATACTTGCTAAAGAATAAACAAGCTATTCCCAGGTTGCCCAGTGTGCTGTAGATAGCAGTAAAGCAAATGGAAACTGCTCTAGATTCAAAGGGGAAAAGGAAATTGTTTTTTCCATTATTCAAAAGTGGAATTTTAGTCTCATCCACTTATAGACAAGTCTTATCTCCCTTCTCCTGTTTCTCAAAAGCATTTAGAAAGCACAGTTTTGTCTCACTTGGTTTGTTCAAGGAGTTATTATTTGTTATAGTTAGAGCTAGCTAGGGTGACACTCACTGAATATCTGCTTTGTTCTTGCTATAGTGGAGCTCTGACTTAAGCATCTCTATCATTTTTTAAAAAGATTTATTTATTTATTCTTACAGAACTGGGGTACAGGCCAGAGGCGTGGTGGGTGAGAAGATTCACCAGAGACAGAGTGGGGAGCAGAATAGGCAGATCAATGAAGTACACTGCTGAGGGGAGCAGCGGGCGGGTCAGGAGAGTTCTCCCACACCTTGTGGGTCAGCTCCCTGGTGGGGAATTGAACTCATGCTGGAGTGGCTTTGGGGAGCTTCATATGTGGTGCCTTAACCCATTGCACCACCAGGGAGAGCCCAGCATCTCTATCATTTTAAAGGATAGTAAGAACTGTGTTCTAGATAGGATGCCCTCTCAGTGCCCAGTCAGAATTTTTGAAACCATCTGAGTGCAAGGACTTAAAACTTATCCACTGTTGCCAGTGGGTAACTTACCCACTCCTGACCCATAGCATTATCTAAGCTCCTAGAGTCCTAATTTTTACTTCATTTTTCTTCTCTGTTCTCTGAAGGATAAGAAAGAGGCCAATGGAAGTGATTTCTCTTTCCATCCATGTTGTTCTTTATTACATTGGTTGGGTGTGTATTTAATCCTGCCCCCAGCCCTCTCTGTGTGACGGCATCAGGAAGACTGGAAGGCCTGTGAAGAGATCTTGAAAGCCCCTGAGAGATAAACCACTTATCAGCACATGGAAGATACAGGAACATGCACAGTTCCACCATGTATTTCGGATCCAGGCTTCGGTCAATATTGTGGATTCTGCAGCATCTAAAGCCCTTTCACATAAAAACTCTCAGTCTTCTTGCTTAATAATCCAAGCCAATGTTTACTCAATGTTCTCATCAGTCACTTTACCATCTCCAAATCTCAAATCTAACAAGATGCATTGCAGCTAATTGGAAAAGTGCTCAATACTGGTATAAAATTATGAAATAAATTGTGTTAAACACTGTATTCATCACCATTCAAAAAGTAATTTAAAGTGCCTGCTTAGCTCTAGTGGGAATAAATGAAATGGAACAATCATTTTAGAAAACTGCTAAGCAGTTTCTTATAAAATCACCCTGTGTCTCAGTGATTGTATTTCTGGCTCTTTGCCCAAGAGAAATGAATGTCCACATAAAGGCTTATACTAGAAGGATCCTAGTTACTTGAGTTGTTCTGCCTGACAGCTGGCAACTATCTAAATTCCCATCCATAGATGTAAAGATGAACATATCATGTACAGTCAGACATCACTTAACAAAGGGAATACATTCTGAGAAATGTGCCATTAGGCAATTTCATCTTTGTGAAAACATCTTTGAGTGTAATTAGACAAACTTTGATGGCATGGGTTACAACATGCCTAGGCCGAATAGTGTAGCTCACTGGGACCACAGTTGTAGGGCAGCTTGAAGTTGATCAAAACGTCCTTAAACATCCTTAAACATCCCCTGAGTATAGTCATAGAGTGGAACTCTAGGAAGCTTTTAAAAGGAACTTATTGGGGACACATGAATCTCTATGTTGATGGAATTTAGCCACAAAACACACTGTAAGATTCTGCATGATTCCACTTACTGGAAGCTGAAGAACAGGGAAAACTAATTTGGGTTGGGGTGGGCAGGGAATTGACTGCAAAATGGCACAGAGAGCTTTCTGGAACATGGAGATGTTCTGTATCTCCTTTGAAAGGGGTTGCATGTGTGCATATACTCTGTGTGTGTGATTGTGTGTGTGTGTGTTTACTAGAGATGAGTCAGCACTGTTAGCAGGATGGTGATGAAGGTAAAAGGAGAACTAATACATCTGTCATCTCTGAGAGCACAAGGAACTCGCATCAAAGTAGTCCCCAAAATTAAAATTTATGTGCCTTTGATACTCAGTGTTTAGACAGAACAGATATAAAGGATCACATCATCAGTGACAAAACCATCTCTTGTCCATGCCATCAGGTGATTATAGGACCAGAACACAATGATCAGCTTGCAAATCCCTGTCAGCTTGGGATGCAAACACCCAAGCAGTATTTTTATTCCCTTCCAATTTCAGTGAGTAGAGGCTGACAATACTTAATAATTCCACTAGATGGCGCTGTGACCACTGCCGCCGGGAAGATTTCGTTAGCTAACCTCAGGGAGAAAACAACAAGGCAGATTAATGGTTTTTCCAGCTCCCCACCCAACACACTATGCCCACCCCCATCCATTTGTGTCCTGAAAATCGTCCTCATGCTTTCCCACTGACCCCATTAGCTAAGCCACCCCCAGCGCGTGTTACTCAGAAGTGACTCATCCAGTGTTTGCTAGTTAGAAAACTAGCAGGTGGGCGGTGGGTAACTTTATTCTGCTTGGTTTTATATGTCAAGCTTTTGTTCGTGTTGAAAAGTCATTTAAATCGTTTAGGAAAAGAGCATTATGGTAAGAATTATTACACACGCCAACAATTGCAGTGTAAGGTCTGGGGAACACATTGTGAAGGCTGGTGGAGCAGAGAAATAAAGCTAACTGGACATTTTTTCATCTTTTTATTTTCCCAGCTGGCAAACTGGAAACAGTGAAATGGGCATTCACCTGGCCACTGAGTTTTGTCTTATACTTCACTGTACCCAACTGCAACAAGCCCCGCTGGGAGAAATGGTTCATGGTGACATTTGCCTCCTCCACACTGTGGATTGCAGCTTTCTCCTATATGATGGTGTGGATGGTGAGTGTATGGAGAACCCTGTGGCCCTGCTTGGAAGTGACAGACTGTCATCCCACCCACATTCCATAGCGGTGCCCAGTATCAGTGGGGGCGGTAGCGATAGACTCTCTACTCTTGAGAGAAGAAGAGCAGAGTCAAGGAGGAAAGGTGTGGGTGGCTGGCAAGTGGTAATCCCATCCGTCATTGTCACTGCCCCTAGCTGGGTCTCAGTCTCATCAGTCAGAAATGAGCCTGCTGGCCTGCTAGTGAATGACCTAGCAGAGTCCCTTCTGAAACTAAAGTAATGATTCAGGGATTGGCCACTTTAGGAAACCCAGCCTTCCAGAACCCATCACCTGCTTAAGACTGCTTCAGCAGAACTGGAATTGGGCAAAATTTAAAAGTCATGACAAAATGATGGATCTCTGCTTCAATCTTGCTTGCATCTTGGACAGAAATGTAATATGAATTCTGAGAATTCAACTCGAGTTAAAAAAATAAACTATGAAAAGATTTTTATAGAGGTCATAATAGCAAATTTGCAAACCTATCACAATTCGTTTATAACTTTTCAACATCACAAACTGATTCTTTTTCAACTTAAATCTTCTAGCCAAGGTTTTCTCTCTCATCCTGTATTCAGGAACATTTTTATGTTGTATGTCCGTTGAGTGCCTGCTTTGTTCCAGATTTGGGGAATAGTGTTGCTATTCTAGGGTCATCACACCCAAACTAGCCCACCAGTCTGAGATTCATCCTCCTGTTTTCCTCTGGGTGGTTAAAGAAATTCTGAGAGATGTCTGAGAGTAAGAGAGAAGAAAAGGAGAAGCAAGGGTCCTCCCTGGTGTCACAACAGGTTAAAATGTAGCACTGTGAAGCTAGCTGCAGCCACTTCAGCAGTTTGATCCCCGGCCAAGGAGGGCGCCCACATGGCACAGCAGACCTCACCTGTCTCACCCACTGCTCCCCTCAGCAGTGTACATCATCAGTCTGCCTGTTCTGCTCCCCACTCTGTCTCTGATGCATCCTCTCACCACCCCAGCACTTCTGGCCTGTACCCCAGTTCTTGTCGGGGACTCTTTGTTCCCCGATCACGGATTATCAGGGGGCAGAACAGGCAGGGTCTCAAGGTGGGAGCGGCATCAGTGAGTGGAGATTCCTAAAAAAAAGGGGAAAAGGGAGCGAGGAAGACACGGGAATCAGAGTTGGGTGCAAGTCTTCCTGTTATGCCTTTAGCAGAAGTTTATTTTATACATTAGGAGCAAGCAGTGGGATGACATCAGCACATGAACTGGGCTGAGAGATTACAATCATCTCTTTTTTTATATAAGAACAGTTTAGGGTCGTATTGCCCTTTAGCTGAGATATAACATTCATTATTCTTAAAATCAATCTATTAAAATTAAGATAGGTACATAAATTCATAAAATTTAAGGCTAACATTGTTATATTTACTACAGTGTTGATTGGCTAAAAGAAAGTCCCTTTAAACCTTAAATGCTATTTAATGATCTTCATTCTCATTGAGACATCTTAGAGGTTAAAGTAAAGTTGAGGACTAGGCTAGAGATGTGAAGGGGGATAAGGTGAGGTCGTGAGCCAAGGAGAAGTTGTGAAAGAGGGTAAAGTAAGGTCAAAGACTAGGCTGGAGGAGTTTTCTGGTAGATAAATCACTAAGGGAGATAGTTAAGATTCCTCATTTAAAGACTGAGCAATAAAAGCTTAAGTAATATAGTAGAGTGATAAGATTTGGGTTCTGGCCCGGGCAGTAAAAGACCTTTAATTATTTTTTTAGCATGTTCTAGTACTGCCTTGTCTTACAATATTGATTGTATTATAATTGTTTTTATTAATTGTAATATTATTTTTTGCTTTCTAGAGCAATTTCCTGTCTTGGGCAGTGCTTGCTTACCTGAGCCAGGCAGCGCCTTATGAGGCTAAGGCAATCTGGCTGTAAGCTGATGGTTGCTTAGAATATTTTGATATTACAAAAAAGGGAGGTCAGAACATAAGTTAGCATGAAAATTCTGATTTCTCAGAGCACTTCCGTCTCTGTCTGGACTATGTCAGTCGATAGAGATTGATAGCTTGTGTCATGTTCTGTATGCATAAATAAATAAATCTTAAAAAGAAAAAAAGGACAAGGAGAAATGAGAGACCTGGGCTCAGCTACCTGGAGAACTGGCTCCCAACTCCCCAGACTCACCTGCAAACGCAGTAATAACACCTGGGAGCAGAGGGGTGGCAATGCCATTCCAAGCCAAGCCCTAGTGATCCCAGCCAGATGCCTACAGGGGCCAGACTGAGGACTAGAAGGGAAAAACAAGGACTGGCCAGCACACTTGTAGCTGCACTTCACAAAGGGCTCCTCAGAACATTAAATAGTGTGTCACTTTGCTCCTGGAGAGTGCAGCCCCAGCACACCCAAGTTCAATTCAGCATCAAAGGAACATGAGGTGCATGGTCTGGTTGGAGAAGGGCAGAGCCAGACCTCTCAAGGACTTGACTAGCATTCCCTTTGGACTGGAAAGGATTTTCTCACTTGGACCTTGCGGGTGAGAAGGGGCTCATGTCCTTAATGGAAATAGCTTCTCAGGTATGGCTTGTCTCCAGCCTCCAGCTACACCTGCTTGCTGTGTAAAATGAGACTAACTGCCTGACCGCAGCAAACAAACACTTCCCGAAGCCTGTTTTCCTTAGGCAGAAAATGGAGATAATACTAGCACACTCCTTATCTTGCTGCAAATTAACTAAGCTAAGCCTCCACGGCCTGAGCTCTCAGTCACCGAGAGTGATGACTGCGCAGACGATGCAGACCGAGGGGCGTTTGCCAAGGTTCAGGGAAGAGAAGACAGGAGTCAGCAGCTTAGCACTTCATACAAGACTAGATGGTGCTCAGCTAGTCTTTCCAGTTCTTAGATATTCATGCATCTAGGACTAAGGAGCTCAGACTCTCAGCTAGCATGACTCTCATCCACTCCGGACTTCCCACAACCATCCTGAGCTCACCCATTCTTCCCTTTTTCCAGAAGCCCCATTCCCCTCCCTCATGCTGTCTGCCTTGCCTGAAAGGAACAAATGAGAAAGGCCAAATTTGATTGGAAAACTTGGCTCCATAACTTGTCCCCTGACATGCTGCCCCTTCTGCTCTCTGTCGTGTTCTCCACCCTCTTGTCGGAGAGCAGCTACCGTCCCCAGGAGACACTGCTCAGATCATGGCCTTTCGTGCCAGGTTGAGGATCCAGAGCAGGTGGGTCTCTCGCTGCTCTCAGCTCAGCGCCTTTTCCTGCTTCCTCCAGGTCACCATCATCGGTTACACTCTGGGAATTCCTGATGTCATCATGGGAATCACCTTCCTGGCAGCTGGAACCAGCGTGCCCGACTGCATGGCCAGCCTCATCGTGGCCAGACAAGGTAGGGCCTCCTGTAGCTTGAGGATGGGGAGAGAAGGAAGTCATTGGGGGAGTGGGGAGATTACCAGGACACCAAATCCTGGCTCGGAAGGATGTGTTGTTCAAAAGGCTTCCTGGCATCACAAGAACAGGGCAAGGAGCCAGAAGGTCCCGCCCTTGAGAAAGGCAGAGCGGTGCATGGGCAGTGCCAGCAGCCCCTTCTGAAGGTTGTGTTACAGTGCTATTATTAGAAATAGCGGTGGATGGGGCCCTCCCTGGTGATGCAGTGGGTTAAAGCGCAGCACCATGAGGCTATCTACAGCTGCCTCAATATGAGTTCGAACACAGCCAGGAGGTGACCTACATAGTGCAGCAGACCTCTCCTGGCCTGCCTGCTGCTCCCCTCAGCAGTGTTCTTCATCTGTATGGCTGTTCTGCTCCCTCCTCTGTCCCTGGTGAATCCTCTCACTGCCCCTGCACCTCTGGCCTGAACCCCAATACTGTATGCATAAATAAATAATTTAAAAAATAAAAAAAAAAACTTTTAAAAAAAAAAATAGTGGTGGATGGACTGCTTTGCTGAGTGCCCTCTCTGGGCAGAGCAGCTTGGGGGAATCTCCTTAGTGAGCTGAAATAAAGCATGAAAATTCTGATTTCTCAGAGCACTTCCGTCTCTGTCTGGACTATGTCAGTCGATAGAGATTGATAGCTTGTGTCATGTTCTGTATGCATAAATAAATAAATCTTTAAAAAAAAAAAATAGTGGTGGATGGACTGCTTTGCTGAGTGCCCTCTCTGGGCAGAGCAGCTTGGGGGAATCTCCTTAGTGAGCTGAAATAACAACTCTGAGGTCAGAACAATGATGCACCCTTTCCATGGTGAGGAAACAGGCTAAGCCAAAGGCTTTACCAGCTGCAGCTGTGGCACCCATCACAGTGGCAGTGGCCAGAGGCCATTCTTAAGTGTATGACGGACCCTTCCTCTGTGCTTCCTTCCAAACCAAACTCACATTTTCCCATCCCAGATGGCCATGCCCCTCCCCAGCAACCACTATAATTTGTTGGCCTGATTTGTGCTAAAGGATATTTGTTTTCAACCAACACAGTTTATAGCTATAAAGCTTAGCACAGTGTCCTTTAACCATCGTCATGAAATTCCACCAGTTCCATTATTTTTCTTAATATTTCTCAATTGTTATTCAGAAGAATTGAATATAGCCAGGAGCATTTGGGAGAGGACATTGAAGTGTATGGGTTGGTGAGCTGATGAGTAAATTTATAGTACTGAATTGTTCCTTTCTATAGTGATATTTTCAGAATCATGTCTGGTTTTTGAGTCTCTCACATTTACATCTTTGAAGCAAAGTCAACTGTTGAATAAGGTGTGATGTTGTTCTCTCCTAGCCTAGACTAGCCTTTTGACTTAAAATCAATGTCGGGCCCTCCCTGGTGGCACAGCAGGTTAAAGCACAGCACTATAAAGCTATCTGCAGCACAAGTTCAATTCCCGGGCAGGGAGGTGACCACGTGGCACCACAGACCTCTCCTGTCTCACCCGCTGCTCCCGTCAGCAGTGTATTTCAGTGGATCTGCCTGTTCCGCTCCCCACACTGTGTCTGGTGAGTCCTCTCACCCCCACATATCTGGCCTGTACCCCAGTTCTTGTATGCATAAATAAACAAATCTTTAAAAAAAATAAAATAAAATGGACGTCATTCTACATTGGTGACCTGGGAGTGAACAAAATAGTGAGTTAGGAAAACTGTGCCTTGACTGTCACATTAAAGGCTCAATTGGCCCTCTGCTCCCTAATGTCATCTCCCTCACTCATGACTTCTTATCTTTGCAGGCATGGGGGACATGGCTGTGTCCAACTCCATTGGGAGCAATGTATTTGACATTCTCATTGGTCTGGGTCTCCCGTGGGCCTTGCAGACCCTGGCTGTGGACTACGGCTCCTATGTAAGTGATATTTCTTCATGAGTCTCTTTGAAACCAGGGCTACATGGACCCTTGTTTTTGGTAACCTTGGGCCCTTTGACTTTGTTCAGGGCAAATGAGGTTATGGAATAATAGGGAAGAGGAGGAAATAAATTCTTCACATCCTTGAAGCTTTTCTTGTAAAAGGACCAGATAGTAAATAACCTAGACTCTGTCATAATTATTCCACACTTATACCTTGTAACAGCCCAGGGCAAAAAAAAAAAAAAAAAAGGAGTGTGGCTGTTTCAATATAGATTTATTGTTATAAACTGAAATTTTGATTTCATATAATTTTTATGCATTAAGATATATTAGGAGTTAGTTGTTTTAACCATTTAAAAATGTAAAAAATCATTCTTAACTCATAGGCTGTGCAAAAGCAGGTTGTGGGCTGGATTTGGTCCATGAATTGAAATTTGGCAGTCCCTGCTACAGTATATTTTCGCATACAGAATATTTATATTCATGTTAGTAAGGGTGCAAATCCAAAGTCCATCTCTGCCAAGGATATGGCCACAGTCAGGCCTGGCACCTTTTCCTTAGGCTAGGCTGATTGTGCCTTGAAGTGGATTTGCAGATCGGCATCAGATGGTCCAGGTAGGCTTTCATACTCTTTTTCAACTTGCCCAAATGTTCCCCCCTGCTAATGGAAGTTCCTGTCCTCAACATTGTCAAAGACTGAGGGAGAAACCATGAGAAGAGATCTCTCCCTGTATCCAGAAGGTGACAGCATGAAGTTTTTACACCCAAGCCAGACCTGGGTGCTGCGTGTTCCCGCAGTCTTTCTGTATAATGTGTTGTAGGTAATTGTATATTCTGTGGAAAACATTGACTCACTTTGTCAGATGGTGGTTGTCTTTGGAGTTGCTTCGCTAATGGTTCTTTGAGCTCAGGAAGTGGGTTGTAATACAGAAAGACCATATGTTTTTGGTTCATATGTGGTTACCTGCTCACTGAGAGATGTCACCAGAGGGTTAAGACAGACACAAGGAAATGAAAGAAAGCGGAATGTAGGCTCCAGATGGAGTTCTTCTCTGTTGTCTATGAAATTGCTTAGTGATTTTCACTGGAGGACCTGGGAAAGGTGCTTCAGAGAATGACTGTAAGCTAAAATATTACTGGAATGAATCACCCATGGGGAAATAGAGCAAAATCACCCCAGACAAATGGAAAAGCAATGCAAAGGCCCTGATACAAAGGTGCACTTGGTGTGATGGAGAGAAAATGAAGTCCCCTGTAATCAGAAGAGTGTGAGCTGGCAGGGTAAGGTCAAGCAGGGTCAGATCAGCAAAATGCTCAATTGGTAATTCATAATAAATTATGACATTCAAACTTCTGTGATACATGGATTTAGAAAAGTTTTTATGACATTTATGAAATATTCAACAACCAGGAGTTTTAATCCTGGGTCCTAAGCCCAGAATAAGTACTATTTAGCCTCCACTAAAGCAATTATCTATTAGAAGGGTTGGGTTTCATGGTCCCCACAATGTGCTTTAATATCTTACCTCCCTAACTGGCCTGACATTGAGTAGCACCAACTAGCACACCATAGATGTCTGAGGGTACCCCACATTTCCCTGTGAAGTCATTCCTCCAGCAGATTTCTTGGCCTCAAATGTATACTGTCCCCAACTCCCTTCCAGTTTTAAATGATGGCTCTTCCAGGTCTGTATCAATTGTTACTCCATTCAGGAGTTCTGGAAATCCAACAACAGAAATCTCATAGTATTTATTTACATCTTGCTCACCCTTGTCCTGAACCTGTGCGTTGGGTCCATTTTATCTCATGGTCAGTGATACATACAAGAGAGAGACACTGAAGGAATATCATCCAAGTTGGTCCCTCATTGAAAGGGTTTCATCCATTGGGTGATCACAGGGTTCTAGATGATCTTCAAATTCATCAAAGAATCAGATCGTTATTAGCTTTGTAGTTGGACTCACATCAAACAAAGTCACAAGGGCTTGATGTATATGCTCTAATGTCAATAGATGGTAGTAAGTTATACAAATTCCAGACAGAAGTACGAGTGCTGTTTTCCCAGAGAAACATTTGTGAAGCACTTCATGATTCCCTTGACGATTCTTGAGTTCATGGAATCACCAGGAGGACTTACATGACTCAATAGCAGATTATAGGCCTGGCTAGGCTTGTTGTAGCAAAAAATGTGGAATAAAAGTAGCAGGAAAAAAAAATGCATCAGAAGTCAAGAGAGGGCCCTCCCTTGTGGAGCAATGGGTTAAAGCACAGCACCGTGAAGCTATCACAGCCACTGAGGCGCAAGTTCGATCCCCAGACAGTGAGGTGGCATGGCAGACCTCTCCTGACCTGCCCCCTGTATCAGCAGTATAGTTCAAACTTCCATGATACATGGATTTAGAAAATTTTTTTAGAAAGTTTGAAATCATTTTGTGATGAGGCCTATGTGTCCTGTCTGCTCCAGCCCATAATTCAGGCAAGATAGATTCCCACCTAGAGGCAAGGGCACCTAGAATGTTCTTTATCTATGTGCCCAGGAAGGTAAGAAGATGCTGATGTCAGTGAGAAATTGCAGGAGTTTATTTCAGTCAATTTGCCTAATCTCAGCGGTGTACTTCAGTCATTTTGCCGGTTCTGCTCCCTACTCTGTCTCCGGTGAATCCTGTCACCCCCAACCCATGCCTCTGGCTTGTACCCCACTTCTGTATGATACATAAATAAGTATTTAGAAAAGAAGTCAAGAGAGATTAGATGCAGACTTCCAGGTCTTACCACACGGTCACACAGGGGGCATTCTCGCAAGTACGGAATTGCAAGAACATGTAGGAGAGATCTCTGTCCAGGGAAGTCCACTGGAATCTAAGACTTTTATGGCCAGTTAGGCATGAGTAGTTGTGATAACAAACCTCAGACTCCCAGCACAGACACCAGATGTGTAACATGAGGCTACTCAGCACCACTGACAAGCCAAAGCAGTGCTCGCCACTGCTGCCAGTTTACACAACATCATCCATCAGCATCAGAAAACCAACAGAAGGCTACGATTTCAGGAATAGCCAAGGATCCATCATGGTCCCAGGCCCTCCTGGTGACACACGGGATTAAGACCTACATTAACACCTTTCACACGAAGGTTAAATTAGAATTCGGTCTGCCAGAATAAATATAACTATTGCTATATTCTAGGTAACCCCAAAATTCCACTGAGGTAGCCAAAAAAATGGATTATTTCTCTCTGAAAATTCACGTCAAATGTTTTATTCTGCCAATTCCCATGGAATCCTCAAGCAGAAACTCAGGAATTGGGACCTGTTCCACCACCGACTTCTAACATCTTGGAGTCCTTCTCTAAGAACCACGTAACAAGCAGAGAAAGCGAGGGCTTAGAAGGTGATGCAGGTCATTTTGTGATGAGGCCTATGTGTCTTGTCCGCTCCAGCCCATAATTCAGGCAAGATAGATTCCCACCTAGAGGCAAGGACATCTAGAATGTTCTTTAGCTATGTGCCCAGAAAGGTAAGAAGATACTGATGTCAGTGAGCAATTGCAGTGTTAGCCAGAGTTTTGTTTTGAGAACAGAATCTAAACAGGGGTTTCTAAATAACCTTTCACTGGGGCTGGAGGGCTGCAGGTTTCCTAGGCACCCCCCACACCTACCCCCTCATGGTAGGGCTTATCTCTGCTACTTGACCAGAGCACATGGGAGGAGCTACCCTCCCCTCCCACTCCAGTCTCCTGGGCCTCCCAGACCAATTGTGCTTCTTTGAGCTCCTTTTCTGGGTCACATGTGGGCTGTCCCTTGTAGTTAACACAATTTCCCTGTCGTCAAGCTGAGAGCAAAACTATTCCTGTGTTTCAACTCTCCCATGAAAGTTGTGTTGCCCCTTATAATTCAAGTTGCTTTATTTTGTTTGGCCACTTTAAAGTATCTCTTGGGTTTTTTCTACAGACAACTAATCTGAAACTTTACTCTTTGTGCCCTGTGTTATAAGAATAGTTTACAATCTTCATAGGAAATGAGAGAAAACTGGAACAACACTGCCCCATCAGCTTTCTGTAAGGGCAGCAATGCCTAGCTGTACTGTCGAGTAGATTGTAGTTACATGAGATTTTTAAGCTGTTGAAGTATGACTGGTCCAAGTGAGTAACTGAATTTTAATATTTTATTTTAATTTATTTAAATGAATATAGCCACATATGACTCGTGGGTGCACGTGAACCTCTGTAGCTTCAGAAGAAAAATCATACATAGTTCACTCCACAGACATCAATTATGAACATTTCAGCATATATTTCTCTTTCTAGGTTGATTTACAGAGCTGAGATTGCACTGTAAATTTTTATGTTTCTTTTTTTATATTTCTTTTTATGTCAAAAAACCCCCTTCTATTCCCATTCGAAGCATCAATTTCAAAGGCAGCCTATTTTCTGGGGATGCCAAAATTCCTTAATCATGCTGCTGCTGTTAGACATTAATTTTACCTAAGATTTTTATTGTTACAAATAATGATACCACAGTCATCCTTACACATCAATATTACAGATTTTGGACAATCCATAAATATTGTACGTAAGTCAGCCTCTATATTAAGGTGAATTCTCTTGATCATTTTCCCCAGAGTTGCAATTGCTTTATAGACTATGAATATTTTGAAGCATGTTATGCCTACCTAATATTTTTCAAAATGACAGAACTCCTTGCATTTTAATTTGTCCTAATTTCATTCCTGAGGTTTGGGGGTAATTTCGTGGTTCACTCATATTCTGCCCACGAGAACCTTTGTGAGGGTTTGCTTCTCAGGACAGAAGAGTCTGTACCTACACACACTCCAGCCACAAAGAAAGTGTTGAGTATCAGAACCTGTGGTTAGAATTGCGACTGCATTTGCATTAGCTCTCATGAAAAGTGGAGGGAAATTTTATTTCTAAGATAATAGATGAGGGCATGTATAGACTACTTTGGTGACCCTTCAAACCTATATATATATTTAAATGT